CCCCCCCCCCCCCCCCCCCCCCTGAATCCGAACCTTGGGTCCCAAACCCAAACCCCGGGCTGTGTGGGTGTAGGGTTGTGGGTTCAAGGATTAGGGTTGGAGAGATTAATTAGGGTTTTGGATTCCGGCTTTAGGGTTTAGGATATTTAGGATTTAGGATTGGGGGGGATTAGGGTTTAGGGCCTACGGGTTTAGGCTACAAAGCTCTCAATTTTCCAGCTTAGATCCCAAGCCCGAACAGCGAGCAAAGAAACCATGCTAACTGACATCACCCGCAGGCTGACATCCTAGGATGAACACCTCTGCGAACCTTCGAAATCCCACCAACATCCAAAGCTGCCTGCAACATCTGCAACCCTAAACCCTAAACTTGAATAGAGCGCTATAACGGCGCCTCGCCGGCCAGCAGCTCCATGTCAAAGCGGGGCTCGGAATGACTAGATACGTGTTTTTTGCGAAGTACACCACGCAGCGCGAGTTAGGGCCCTCTAAAATCCAGACATGCCCCTCTGAAGAGCCTTTGCCAAGCCTGCTCCTTCCCACGCGTCTGGAGCCAGAAAAGAACAGGAATTTAGCAATTCAGGGTTTAAGCGTTTAGGGCATGTAGGGTTTAGCCAGAAAAGCCTAGCAACCCTAACCCCTAAACCCGAAACCCTAAACCCTGAAGTTTAAAGACAGATGGGGTTTTGCTCTGGGAGTCGGGATTGGGCTTCGGGACGACGGGGCTTTGAGCTTCCGGGTCGGGGATTTAGGGTTTAGGGCTTAGGGCTTAGGGTTTAGGATTTTGGGTTTAGACTTCAAGGTTTAGGGTTTAGGGCTTAGGGCTCTGGGTTCAGGGTTTTGGGTTTAGGATTTAAGATTCAGGGTTAAGGATTTAGGGTTTAGGCTGCCTTCTGGAAAGTAACGCAATAAACGTCCCGGGATGTTCCCATATCCCCAGTAGAGGTAAATCTATGACATTCCAGGAGCCTTACGTAGCTATATAGTTGCAGAGCCTAGCCCTTAATAAGGACCATACGCGTCAGTTTCTGTTCAAACACATAATCCTAAACTCTAAACCCCCAACCCTAAGCCCTAAACCTTCAACCCTAAACCCTAAATCCTAAGCCGTCCCTGAGCTCAAGCCTTAAACACGAAAACCCCACACCCCTGAGCCTGATACCCCAAAGCTCCAAGGTTTAGGGTTCAGGGCTTAGGGCGCAAGGATGAAAACACCCTGAAAGCCCTTGACTCCCAACCCCTACATACGGTTTAGGGGTTTAGGGTTTAGGGGTTTAGGGTTTAGGGTTTAGGGTTTAGGGTTTAGGGTTTAGGGTTTAGGGTTGCCGCATACATGTACAAACACCTTGGCTCTCTGACTCTTCCAAAACTGCAAAGCGCGGTTTACCACTATGGAGCTTGTCA